GCAACTTCCTTACACCAAATTCAAACTAGAAAATTGGTCTAAGCCATTACCATACCCATTTCCTCATTTCCATAATAGTAGGCAAGTTCTTTACACCTAACCATTCCCTATGGACATAGTAGGTTAGAAATAAACCAAAGTAGGAGGAAACCCTACCTTTTGAAGCGTAAAACGAAGAGTAAAACTTCAAGAAGACCTCCCAAGACCCAAAACTCTTGATTTTCTCAAATCTCCTCTTTGGATCTTCGGTGAAATCCTTCATTCTTGGTATGGTTGCGTAGCTCTCGTCGCAGTCATCGACTTTAACTTTTAGTCCAAGGGATTCCGACCGTCGGAACTCCGTAGATCAAAGAAAGAAGGTGGAGATTTCTTTTTCTTTTCTCTCTTCTCTCTCTTTCTCTTCTAATGTGAGAAATTTGATGAAAATAGGGAGAAAATCATATATTTCTCCCTATTTATACCCTTTAATTGTGCGGTCTACGTTGCGGTGCACATTCCCTATTTTTGGGTTTGCTTTTGTCCCAAAACAACTTAATTGCATCCTAGTTTAAGTTCAAATTATTTTTATATGAACTTAAATTAAATTATAAGAAAATGTTATAAAATTTATTTTTTGGGACGTTTTGGAGATCACCCGACACTCAATCGTCTCGTAAAACCTAAAAATTCATACTATCTCAGAATTCGACGAAAATTGTCTGAGTCACTAAGTTTCGCGAGACAAATTCAACAGTGAGGTCCATTTTGTTATCCGAGATTTAGAAAAAAAAAACGAGTTCTTAACTCAAACTATAGTGACAAATTACCATTTTGCCATTTTTCGTAAAAAATTTTTTACAAGATTCTTTTGAGGAAAATATTATCATTTTTTGGTTAACATTACCATTTTTTAGGTTAGAATACAACTTTCTTGGGTTCAGAATACAACTTTTTTAGTGTATTTTTAGAGGTAAAATTACGGTAAGAATTTATAATCTTTCTACTAAATTACCACAACCAAGCTCATCACAGCCATTACCATGCTCATTTTATGTATAAAGAATATATCATATTGCATTAATTTGTCTCATCACATTTCACTACTGCTAGTTCAACTATTGTATCAACAACTAACAACTACAATTACATATAATTGTCACTTCCTAGCTTTTTTTTTGCTTTTCATAAAAGAAGACTCAATTCCATCCAACCTACTACTGATCCCCTTCAGAGACTCCTTTATTTCATTTTGAGTATTTTCAAGTTCCTCCATCTCTCTGCCCAATCATACTAGCAACATTCCATATACATGCAATTGAGGAAGATCAGGAGGAATACCAGTTGTGGAAGAATTTGGGACATCCTGAGCTTGGGCTTCATCTTCATCCTCAACTTCAACTTCATTCTCGATTTCAACTTGTGGCTGCTGAATTTTCTTCTTCTTCCCTTGTCACAAACTTATTTTTATTGTCCCACCATAAATTGGATTCATGGGAGTGGAATAAGTGTCGCTTGAGTAAATCACAACTCTACAATCCTCCATAATCTTTGAAATCAAAATTGGGAATAAGAGACATCGTCGCCTATCCTTCATACCTTGTACCAAAATAACTTCATCAACTATTGAACAAGGTAGATCTATACATATACCCTTTCCAATCGCATACAGGAGATGAACTCGATCAAGTCCAAAATTAGCAGTATGTCCTCTTTGTATAATATTGTACCCCACTATAAGATTTAACATCCTATATTTGGGAGTAAGGTCTTGCTGAAAAAATTCTAAATTGTCAACACTCACTAAAATTATTAGGTATGCCCTCAATTTATGTATAAACATCTTTCAACTTAGGTATATCCTTAGAATTCTTGATTGGATAGGTAAGTGTATTGTTAGGAATGAAGGGTCGGCGAACTCCCAAAATTTTTGAAACTAAATTTGGGGTTACTTCAAAACTTACATTCCTCACAAGGGACTTAAACTTGTGATCACCTGTATCAATATCATGCATGTTAGAATAAAATATCTTCATCAATGTATTATATGTTTTATCCGTCTTCTTGATATCAACTACAGAATTCCATTGATGAAGAGAAAAAATAACATCACATCCTACCTTTTTTAATTAATCCAGCAACACACCCCTGTCTTCATTGCATATGGGGTTGGATGAACTTGTTGGATTGGGTATAGGGTTGGATGAACTTGATGTATTGAAAGAGGGATCAACTGGATTGGTGGAGGTGGGATTAACTCTGGAGGACAGATCAATCAAGGGATGATGATTACATTTCTTATTCTAGGAGGGACTAGAGGAAGGATCATTACAGCTCTTATTCCTCTTCATTTTTTCACTGGTATCCACAACTTTTGGCCTATACTTCTTTGTCATTATACTCTATTGTAACAAGAAAAAAATCTAGTCAAAAAAAAAAAAGAGTAATAACATGGAAGATTATCTATTACTTTTGAGCAATAACAATTCATGGAGATGTGAGGAAGTTATGATTGCATTACTTTTGAACCATCACTCACAAAAACCATAATTCGTTCAACCCCAAAACACTTTCCTTATGCAACTATGTGTACAAAAATTTTATGAAATTGAGAGAGAGACAGAGAGAGACAACTATGAAATTCAATGAAATTTTCTCTAATTAAACCAAAAAAAGAACAGAAAAGAAAACTACCGTAGAGGAGCTGAATTCTCATGACAATCACTGTACAGTATACACCCCCAATATGCAAGTTAGACAACCACGAGAGACAACTATGTAGTCGAACCCTCAAGTCACAGACACCTTTCTCTCTCTTCTTTGATGAAGAAGCACGAAGCAGGCTGTTTTGAGATGATTAGGGCACCAAATTTTGAAGCTGATTTTGGGTTTTAGGTATGCAATCAGGCTGGGTTTTCACCGATTTGGGGTTAGATCGCTGATTTAGGGTATGCAATTAGGTTAGATCATTGATTTAGGGTTTTGAGGAGTTGGAGTTTTGGTTTAGGGGAATAGAAGAAAAAAAGAAGTTGATCGCTATATGAGTGATCCAACCTGGATCGCTTATGTAGCGATCGGGCGTTCACTTAGCGATCAAATTTGCAAACCAATCTCGATCCCTAGACTAATCTCAATCGCTCAATCAGCGATCAAGATTTTAGCTTGTCCAATAAATTCACTTATGGCCCTAAATTATCACATTTTTTCAATTTTTTCTTCATATTTTTCATATTACATCCTCAACTATGTAATTAGTTTTATATTACCCTAAATTTTGTTACCTATTTTAATTTAACACCAAAGGTGTATCAAATATGATAACTTTGTTATAATTTATTTAGCGGTAAAAAACTTTGTTGTAATAATTTTAACTTAACCCAAAATATAACCCCAAAAAATGGAAATTTTACCCCAAAAAAATGTGGCAATATAACCTTATTGTAACATTTTAGTAATAGCCAAAAAAAAAGTGTTAAGCTTTAGTTGTAATTTAGCCTGGTAAACTTAATAACCTAATCCTAACCTCTAATATTTTTAACTTCATCGTAAATTTAATGTCACTCAATAACCCTAAATATTGTAAAAATTTTCTTATATTTTTATTTCAGGTTTAAATATGATAAATAATTATGATTTTTTAAAACTAATTTTAATTTCTATTATCACTGAAAGTAGTGGTGAACTTAGATAACCTAATCTAACATCCTTATATTTTTAACTTAAATTTAATGTCACTCAATAACCCCAAATATTGTAAATTTTTTATTATATTTTTATTTAGGTTTAAATAAGATAAATAATTATTATTTTTTAAAACTAATTTTAATTTATATTATCACTTATTTTTAAAGTGTATGACGGTTTTATTTATTTTTAAAATATATACCGGTGAAACCGATTATGAGTTTTGATAGATTTGAGAGTGTACAAACCTTGGGTCTTGTGTAAAAAGCAAAACAAGTCCAAGGTTACAAGTACCGAAAAAATTAAGCAATATTTCTTGTTTTCTTTTCTGTTTCTTCCTCTTGGAAAATTTGTTTTTTTTTTCTAGTAATTTTTTTTTTGTTCAATAAGTGTAAAAATATCCATGGACATAAATAATTTAGAGGTGTGATACTTAATTTATATTTTTTAAATATTTTCAATCAAAATTTGACATGTATAAATTTTATTTGACAATTTGAATTTCCATTCAAATTGTATTAGAATTTGAGTCTGATAAATTAAATATAATTTTTTCTTTGTTTTATTAGTTATTCGTATTCAAACTAATTGTATCATATATTGCGAATAGAACACGGTAAGTTCAGTCTACTATTTAATAAGATTAAATTGTGGAGAACAAATTTTGGATGGTGGAGGAGGTAATGGAGGTGGTGGTAGTCGTCGATTGGCCTGGGGAGTTGCAAAGGGGAGGAGGGTGGGGATATACTGTTGGGACGGGATTTCTGATTTCTAAGGGGGGAGAGAGAGAGTGGGCAACCAATTTTTTTATTTTTTTTTATTTTGTTGGGACGAGGCCTCCGTTTTGTCTGCAAAATATTAGAAATGTCGTTAAAGAACACCACCTCACAAGTACAGGGTAGTGTCTGTCTTTTTTTCGTTTTTTTTAACGGAAGGTAGTGTCAAAGACCATATCAACTCAGTGTTTATTAAACAAGTCGTATATGAGTTTAGTTATTTTTTACCTGTCAACCGTTTAATTCGACACGTTTGATATCCCTAGATTCAACAATAAACTAATTTTTCAATGTTTATGAGGACTTCTATAAATAAGTATGGAATTAAGTGGGACTTACAACATATGAGTAATATTATTGAGATCTAAAAAATTAGAATAATGTTATATTTATCAAATTTTTTACTAAGTTTTTTATATCAAGTAACGTGGTAGAATCTCCATAGATGAATATTAATGAACCTAAGGTAAATTATTTACGTCCAATAGCATTACTCACAATATGTACTGCAGACCCTATATTTAGCAAACACTTCGCAAACAGTGGTAGAGTAATTAACTCGTAATGGAGAGTAAGGTTAGTGGGGGCGGCGGCACAGAAGAAACGGCAAAGAAAGGGGTGGTGGGCAGAGGTTTAGGATTACCAAACAATAGCAACGGCAACCTCATCACTCCCTCCAGTGACGATGATCTCAGAAACGTCTTTCACCAAATCAGAACAACCAAAAGTCCTGTAAGCAAAACCCTTTTTCTATCTAGTCTTACATATAAAACCCATCTCTGTTCATGGCTGGAGAGCTAATTTTTGTTTTTGAAAACATTTTTTGTTTTGCAGGCAGTAATTAATTATGGCGCGTCTTGGTATGTTTATGGGTTAATTTGAACTCTTCGTTTTGAAAATTTTGTTCTTTTTTTGAACTTTATTTGCTTGACAATGCTCGTATATTTGGTGTTTTGCTGCAAAGTTTGGGCATATGATGTCTTACACTTGATCTCTGAACTTCAGGTAAGTTCTTTGTTGACAAGTTTACACTGCTGATGCCCATTGCTTTGCACCGTCCCTTTATGGTAAATTGGGTTTCTTTTTTAGTGATCCAAATATCATATATTATATCTGTTATTTGTTATCAATTATTATCTTTTAGTTTAGCCAACAATTTTACTTTAGGAATTAAAAGGGGCGACAAGAAATGTGTGTGTGTGTGTGTGTGTGTGTTGGGGGAGGGAGGGGTGCAAAATTTGTGAACACAAGGTGTTCGATGTTTGACTCCAATGAAATTTGGCTTTGTTGTGTTTACTTCGGAGATCGACATCTTACTATGAATTGATTTCTTGCACACTATGAAATGCATTAAAGTCTGATCAAGAAGCCTCGATGGCATAAGATGCACCAGAAAAGTGGTTGAAAGCATCTATTGGTAATCTATTAAAATATCAATTGTACTTCAAATAGTTCAATTTGTAGAAAGCGTCTATTGGTAATCTGTTTTTGCAAGTAATCTGATTCCAAAATGGCAGTTTTCAGCTTGGCGCATGAATATATTTGTGCCCATGAGGGCATTATTTTTTGTTTTCCCGCAAATATTAATAAACATACACATCAATTGTATATTAAATCATTCTACTAGCTTTGATTTTGCACCGAGTAGAACACAGCACACTCAAGATCATCTGATGAAATAGGAGGCATAATTGGTTTTGGTGTTCATACACTGTACTAGATATTTATGTTCAAGCTGATTAATTCATCATTTTTCAGGTGTCACGTTTGCAGCCAGATCCTGCCTACATTTTGCCAATTGAGCAACAAGTTTCAACAATTATCTTTCATATATGCAGATATCGATGAATGCCCAGAAAGCACTCAGCAAATTCGGTACACACCAACTTTTCATTTCTACCGAGATGGTGAAAGGGTTGATGAGATGTTTGGTGCTGGAGAGGAGAGGCTGCGAGATCGTTTGTGGTTGCATTCCTGAAGACAGTTCATGCTTTACCAGCTCTGAAATCTACATCCTGTAAACCGTCAAGCCTGCTAAATCGTACTGAGATTTTGTTTTATTGTAATTTGAGGTATCCTATATTAGCATTATATGTGAATGGTTCCTTGTTTAATTACCTGCTTTTCCGATCATCCGTCTTGGTGGGGTTGTTATAGATATTGTTCATTCATTAAGAGCCGCACAGTTTCATTTGTTGACTTACTTGAGATGTGTCCATTGCTCTGAAAAGTATGAAGTGCATCATAAAAGAGGTATACATTTGCATGTATGAATGGCTAGCCAAATCAATTCCATTAATTGAATTGCTCATCAGTTCAATGAAAATTGATTGACAAGTCCGAAACTAATCATATGAGATGCATAAGAACTTCTGAATTGCACCGCAACCAGACGGGTTAGTTGCTGGAACAATCACGTGCAACAAAAAAACGTAAAATTGGGCAAATAGAACAAAAACTCAGGGCTCTAAAAGCTTCAATAGTTAAGCACACGTTTCTGTTATCCTATCTATTTACATATTTTACATCACCAATTGGAAAGAAGATGTTTGTAACTAATGTTCTCATCACCAACAAAAACTCTGATCAGATGATATAAATTTCCTACAATATTCATGCTGATTTACAAATTGATGGTGCCATAATCTTGCTGCAAAGTGCAAACTTACTTAATAGCAACAGTGTTTTCTTTCCAAACAGCCGATAAAAGTACATGTTTACACCTGTGAAGCTAAATTCCCCAGCTGGAGAAAGAATATACATCAGATCCAAAAATGATTCTCAAAAGAAGAACTCCCAGGCATTGATTAAGCGATTAGTAACTGAGACCAAGTTGAAGTCCAAGGGCAGCATGGACAAGAAACAACGTCATGATCCCACTGCCGAGAATCCCATGAACATTCCGTAGTCCAGGATTCCCCTGTGTAAATGAATAAAAAGTAAAAAAACCTAAAAAGAAAGATATTCATTGTTTTTGAGATGAAAAGAAAGTTCAGTACCCAACTGGAAATTTTTTGGTTTAGGAAGTCTTTTTTACCTCAAATAATGATGGTAATATAGTCTGTGCAGTCAGAAGAGCAAGGCCAATGAAACCTGTGACAGCATGAGGACTGCAAGCATAGACATGAAATAGGACAAAGTGTGAAAGGAATTGAAATTTTTTTATGCACTCTTAGCAACGAAATAATGTTACTGAAGAACGTGGATCGATCTAATTATTCCAAAACAATGGGGCTGAAACTACACTTCAAACTCTTTACTTGTCATGAGGAAAGAGATATTGGGTGACAATTTCCACGAGTACCTCTCAAAAATGGGTTTATCTGAAGTAAGGAGAGATGTCATTCCACCAGTTGCTCCAAGAGCAAAGAAGAAAAACATTCCTCCAAGGAGTTTTGGGTGCAAGTCTTTAGCTTTTGCTTTTTCCTCCTGGATTTACCAATGCAAATTAGGATAACAAAACGGCATTATAGGCAAACAACTAAATATAATGTATTCTAACGATGTCTTACCACATCATCAGAAAAACGAATTCGAAAACCTAAATAGGTTCCATAACCACCCATGGCAAAGAGCACAACAGCCTGCAACATTACAGGAGAGAAAATCCCATCAACATTTACTTATTTAACTCTAAATAAGAAACTCAATGGAAAGATTTGCAGCAATGATTGAGGTAAAAGAATAAATAAAAAGAACAAGGAGGTGGGCAGGAAGCAAAAGAAAAGGAGTCTACCATGTTACCAGGGTGACCCCAATGCACAAGCCAGCCCGGAAGGTTCCATGACTTCACAAGTTCAACAAAGGGCCCAAACAGAGACCTCACACTAGCCGCTGACATCCAGAAATTCAATCTCATTAGAAGTATATAAAAGAAAAGATGAAGTCAGTATCCAGTAAATGCAAATTAATTAACTAGCAGATATGTAGGGAGTCAAACCAAATAACAAAACTGACATTTCTGGGGGTGACCACAAAATTGTGAAAATGCATAAAAAAAAACAAGTATCTACTTGAATAGCTCTAGCCTTTCAAAATAAGGATCATACAGGAGCATCTCAAATCCAACATGACCGGAATACCTCACAAGTACAATGGGATCACCCAACAGAAGACAGTCCAAACTGTGCTCAGTTTGCACACAAGAATTCACGCCATATCTTTCTTGATGAACTCCCAGACTTATCTTTGTTCCATACCAAACAACAGAGTCCATATTTTATAAGAGTAGATAGTCTAGTCTAAAGCCGTTGGTTAGCTCAATATTTGAACTTCAACCTGCCTCTATCCTTCCAAGTAGTCCTTCCAAATAGGAATTTATTTTTTTCAAAACCACAATATGCTAAAGTGAAAGCTCCTCACTAGAACAACCTACTCATTCAATTCAAGTAAGTCGGATGACACCAAAAATTTATATCATTTCTCATATCATGAGTCTAGCATGAAATGGCCCTGACAACAGAAGCTTCTTTCACACAGAAAAAGTTGGCTGAAAATAATCATTGAGATGACTTCTAGAAATGTCATTTATCGACACAAGCAACACCAACACATTAGAATCCTAAAAGTCCTTTTTCGGTCTGGTCCATAAATGTTCTCTATAATTCAAATTTCCATGCTATCAATTATGTAATTGGAAAATTGTAGCTTCTTAAAATTCATAGTATTCTGATTTTATACATTCCCATCATCAGAACCTACAGCTTCTCTTTACCAACAGACCAACACTTCAATGCGCCCCAAAACTCTCAGCTACTTTGGGGCTTAATCGTTCAATATATAGCACACTGAAAATTTTACTCTTTGTAGTGGGCATGACTTCATGTACAAAAAGTGAAATTCTATGGGTGGAACAGACTGTCAGTTTTGTTAAACTGGTCAAGTTTTACCCACATTTTCGTTTTTGAGACACCAAAGTGTTCAAAGTGTTCAAATTGTTCGAAAAAGCATGTAACATAACAAGGTTCCAGAGGTCAAAATTAGTGGCTCTGGCAATGAAAGTAATTGAAGGACTTCCTCAAGCAAGTTCACCTTCGAGTCCACAACAATTTTCTGACTAAGTTGAAGAAAATAAAGATGAAATGAAGCTACCACCTTCAGCTTTAATAAGTTCAAATTTTCTAACCTCTGATGTAGCAAAAGAGCGCAAGAAAAAAAAAACCCAGAAATACCAGAACGTATATATGTTGTGCTGTCTTTTATTAAGCATTACCGCCAGGAAGGGCAGCCAGAAATAGCAAAGGCAAAGGAGTGAAAGAGTACAAGAGGGTCTCAGTGGAATCCTCTATTCCATCTTCTTTTTCTTCAGCTGTATCAAAACCTCCACAAGTCTCGTTCTTGGGCGCAAAACAGGTTCTAATGACAGCCCTAGTGTTGGGTTTTTGAGCCGGCGCAAAAAGCAATGACTCATGAGGATTTCTGGAGAAAATTACTGGCAATGTGGGAAATGAAGAGGAAGGTAGTAGAAGATAAGGACATGGGTGTGGACGAAAAGCAACGTAAGAAGCATTGACCATAGCCATTTTTCGTAGAGAGTGCAACGAGAGTGTGGTGTGTTGTAAGCTTTCTGTGCTTTGTTTTTGGGTTCAGAATTTGCAGATAGAGTGAGAGGAATTGGGAAAGGCAAAGAAGGTGACACGCCTGTAGATACGTTTGACCATTGTGAATCTGTCCACGTGGTTTCAACACGTTGCCTCCCACCGACCCAACCTCCGTTTTCCGTTCTCCTCGTGTTATTAATCTTTCTAATGAGCCATTTTATTTTTGAGCTAAGGACTTACTTTTGGGGCTAACCAGGACGTAATTTAATGTATTAATTGGATTAAGTATTTTCTTTTATTACAAGATACTCAGGTTTGTACCGACTAATCACCATAACTTCAAAGAATTAGAATATGTTTCTTAAAGAATAAATATGAAATACTTTGAGGCATATGAGAATTGTTAAACTATAACCGATTAGTTGGGTACGAATAATTATTTTATTTATCGATAATCTAAATTCAAATTCGAATCCAATTAGTCATTTATAGATTGATATTTTTTTATCGATGATCTAAATTTGATATCTTATATTTCACAGATTCAAATTTGAATATACCTATATTCAATCCGATTATGATCTGATCTGAATTATTTATATATTTATACATAAATATTAAAGAAATTACGTGATTATTTAAATAAAGAGTTAAAATTGAAGTATAATTTATTAAAATTTAGTTAATTAAATTATTCAAGTCAGATTTAATTTCAGATTATTAACGAATTCAAATATGAACTACAAAAATAAAATTCATTGAATTATCAAATTCGGTTTAGGCTTTTGAAAATCAAAATTTGGACTTGAATCAATCGAAATCCGATTCAAACTCGATCATTTAAGAGGCCTAGGTTCAACCACTAAACCACTCTTAAGGATCTCATTGAATTAGTTATAAATTTCAATATTAGGTGGAACTTACTTTTAATTTTATGATTATATTGAATTATGTTTAAGTTACCAAATTAGTACTAAATAATATTTTTATTTTATTTTGTTACTAATTTTATTGACAGTTGATATAGTGAATTTCATTTAATACTAAAATTCTTTGATAATTAGAGTGAGATTTTTTTCAATATATTTTTTCTTATGAGTCGATCAACTAACATACATACATTCAACTGAGAACACTATCGTATTCAAGTGAGTCTTTCATTCATTATTGATAAATAATCTGCTAAAAACATAATTAAAAATTCATTTAAATTCTTGATAATCTAATAATCACAAGTATTAAATTGTCTTCCAATGTTATATGTCAATAGCATTACTCTTTTTTTATGGGTATTGTTGGGACATAAATAAAAACATTTTTTTGGGGGTAAAATCCAGTTTATCCCCTTGTGATTTGGGTGTTTTGCGCCTCACCTTCCTATGGTTCAAAAATCAACACAAGCCCCTTGGGACATGTATGGTTGGTTTTTTTTAGAGGGGTTTGGATTGGTTTGTCGAAATCTTTCCAAACCTAAACCCCTCTTTACAAATATGAAATTCAACATTCAATCCCTTTCATGCCCAAGTTTGGTAGATGTACGGATATATCACTATTATAATAATATATTTGTATATAAATAACTATTGTACCCCTTAACTAATCTAATTCATGTATATAAATGACTATTGTGCCCTTTAACTAATCTAATCCATACTTATATTTGTTGACGTACATTTTTTTGTGTCCTTATAATTTTAACATATGATTATTTTTTCTTCCTAACTTATGAAAAAAATCATAAATGTTGATAAAATATAACTATTATTCATAACCATAATAAAGCGCAATAAAATATTAACCCAACAAGACGGTGTAATATTCTAACATTTACATATACGGGAATACACACAAAATTTGTCCATTCCCAAAAACATCAAATCGGACAGACTTATTCTCATTGCACCATATTAAACATCATTATATTTGTTACAAAATGCTCACATCTATTGATGACATTAATCATCAATGATAACCAAGTCGACAATCGGCCTATATGGAGACTTTACTAAAATGGAGCCAATGCTGAAAACTATTGATATATATCTGTCTTCTCCATGTGGCCCGAATATTTCTGTGAAGATCTTGTAATTGGGACAAGTTCGTACACACGCTCGAGATGCGAAAATGTCATCTTAAAAAAATGACATATTGAGTTTATGAACACATATATATAATAATTTGTATAGTAATATACATATGTAAAAACCTAATAAAAAATAAACCTCTAAAAAAACTCCTGTCGGATTAATTGGGAAAATAACTAATGGGATTTTTTGCAAAGATTTTTTGCAACTCAGTAGATTTCCCAAAAGAATCTTCTGTGTTGATCGATCGTAGGCCAATTCCAACACAAAGATGTGTGAATAGGGTTATATGGTGATATAAATGTCATTTTATATATTCAACCCTTTAACTCCCATATGATACCCCCCCCAAAAAAAATCGGGTTTCATGAAACTCATAAACTTGGATTTAAATTGTGGGCCTAAAGTGTGCTTTGTTTGGTAATTTGGACTAGAAATTTAATTGTCAAACATGAATTTGCTAGGTTTTATAGACTGTTATTCCCCAATCTACCTTCTAAATCCCCCTTGTCCCACGTACCAAATAGCCCTTGTGGTTTTGGACTAAGATACATAACTAACACCATTAACAAAAGTGAGTAAATTACATTAATACCCTCACTATCTTTGTCCTCCAATTGATTCTAAAATAACAGTCCCAAAGCTAAGTTCTCCCGGTCTGAAAAACTCTAGAACACCAAACAATTTTAAATCAACAAAAAATCAAACCATCAAAACTATGATCAATTAGACTCGCCCAAAGAGATTAATTAGAATGCTAAACGGGAAACCCATCAATTAGACTCGCCCATAGAGATCAATTAGAATGCTAATGGAGTGAGTATAAATGAGGTAAATTTAATAGTTTGAATTAAAGGATTAAATGGAGTGAAAAAAGAAATTTCAGGTGTGGGAATAGCCTCACCCTAAATAGAAATGCAACACACATACATTTTTTAATATTAAATTTTTTTATTAATTTATTATTTTTATATCAGCGGCTAAAAATCACTCAAATTAAAATTAATGGTCCAAATTATTTTCGAGACGGTAGTACTATAGCTCTTACCCTCCTTCGTTCCTTCCCTATCTGTTAAAATAATACACTTTGGTTTTCCATTTCAAATAGAAAACTCAAGAGCATAGCTTATGGTCTTTGTAATTTCTTAAACTTCTTGAAGTCTTGGATTTTAGACAACACAATCAAATTTTCTGGTTTGCAAAGAAAGAACAGGAAGTAGCAGTAGGGTTTTTTTGATACTCTATACCGAGAAAAACTTAACACCAAAGTTCAAAGATGATAAGTTATGCCAGTGTGACCTTCATGGTGTAATCCTAACCCTTGGGTTCCGTTCCACATTAATCACCAACAACAAAACAATATGGGTAATAATCCATATGATCAAAATTTGGGAAGACATAATTATTGCATTGACAAAAACGTTATGGCATGCATAAATAATAATATTGACAAAAGTTCAAACACAGAGAATCATGATGATGATGAGTATCAATAGGAAAACATTGCAAATATCGATGTTGAAGAGGTGATGAGTTATGTTCTCAATCACGAGGGCGGTATGATTGAAGAATTAATTAAGCGTGATCAGGAGAGAAGTAATGATATTTATTTCATCGAACGAAAAGATGCAATGAAAATGACGAAGTTAGCATTGCTACATTCGAAAGCATCCCTTGATGCTTACCTAAAAGGGAACCATATTTTTGCCCAAAAGTTATCACTAAAGGCTCACGTAGAATGAATGGCCAATGAGATACTTCATCCGAAGGTAGCATAAAAATACATTCTAATTTAAACAATGATGGATCAAAATGTATTTTTTTACCCATATTTAGGTATTAGTGACAAATTTATGATTAAAAACAGTTAGTAATTTGGACGTTGTCAACTTGAGGGATTACATAAAAACATATTCATACTTCAACGATCAAAATGATCCAATTAAAACATATTTCTGACTCCGCCACTAGAAGGGAATAAGCTAAGTACATCCCCAGCCCCTTTTTGACGTAATTCCTTATTTTAGGAATCTCACTCAAGCTCACCCAGGGATCGCTATTTTAAGCTATAAATCACATGTGCAATTTGGTGCCGTCTATGAAATATATAAAACCAGACTTTCGCATAGCAAGTACTACGGTGAGCATTCGATTTGTAATAATTTTAGAGTTAATTACAAAATTTCCCCTTAAACTTTGAGTTTTTTTTTCAATCAAATCTCTCTAGTTTAAAATTAAACAATTTACCCCCTTAATGTTTAAATAATTTTCAATTAACTCTTACGGTTAGCTGACCATCATTAAAAATGACTTAATATTTTGGGCAAAAATAAAAATCAAAAGAAAAATAATCAACTATCCACACAAAAAACTGATGATTTCTTCGACGAAAAGCCCAACTCTTTCCCCCTTCATTGAAATCGAAATCACCACGTCCAAACAAATTGAAATTCCTTCCCCCCCCCCCCCCCAGTGAAACCCTACCCTTCCCTCAATTCCCTGCCCCTCTGGTGAAACCGATCCCCCTTCCCCCCAATACACCTCACCCCCAAACAACTAGCTTCCCGTCCCTCAACTAGTGAAATCAAAACCTACCCCTAGCAGCAGTCCCCAAACAGCCCCAACCCCAAAAGAAATCTACTCTATTGGGCATCACCCATCTGAAGAGTGGGAGAGAGAGATAGAGAGAGAAAGAGAATTCATGTAGTTGAGTCCTATTTGACTAGTTGATTGTGGCTACAGTGGTTGGTGGTTGAGGTGGCGATAGTGATTTAGGTGGTGGCTGGTTGGCAGCTACGGTAGTTTGTGGCTGGTGGCGTCAGAGCTTCTAGCTCAATTAGGGTGTATGGCTGATGGTATTCGAGGTTTTGACTCAATTGAGCAAAGAGAAAGAAAAGAAAATAGAGATTAATAAATGTTAAGGGTATAAAAGTAATTTTGAAGTTTCTGTTCAATTCATTGTCAAGTTATTCATTTTGGAACTTAAAGGGGACAAATTGTTTAATTTTAAACA